ATAGTCACATCGACTAAACTAATATACAAGTCAATTCAATTGATAAATTAAAAAAACAAATAAAAATATTATAAAATATAAATAGATTTAAGAAATTTATAATTTAATTTATCATATAATAAAACCAAAATTTAAAAGCAAAGATATCACGCATAAATATTTCATTCCTTACCTTTTATTACTTCTTTCCCTACCATATTTCCATTTTGTTATTGATGAAGTGAGCAAGAAGCAAAAAATTTTTAGTCATCCACGTCAACCCAATATTTCCAAAATACCCCTCACATTGTCATATAATCTATTCAATTCTCCGTGTAACCAACGCAAATATGCAGCCACGTATCGATCACGTGGCTTGTTTTATTATTTTGTGAACCTTACCTATTTTTAAAAATTTTTTTTAGAGTTTTGCTCCCAAATCATTTTACGTTTTCAAAGGCGTGGGACGAATTTTCATTCAACCGGTCTTTTTTTTTTTTTTTTTTTTTTTTATAAGAGTCTGTTTTTGGTTTTTTAAATGGTGGGACTCACCTTTTTTTTTAATTTCTTTAAGGGGTTATATTTTTTAAATTTATTTATTTTAATTTATTTTTTTAATTATATTCAATATTTTTAAAATATATATTTAAAAAAACTGGAACTTACTTATATTAATTTTTTTCTTTTTATTTTTCATTTATCTTTTTCTTCTCATTTCAAAATTTTCAAAAAAAAAATATTGTTTTTAATTTTATTTTAAACTTATTTGCTATTAAGGATACGCGATATGTTTTTTTTATTTTTTTACATAATTGATAAATATTTTTTTATCAAAATTATTTTGTTAGAACCACTTTATACTAAAGATATATAATATATCAAATTATTTTATTATTTATTTCTTTTCTTTTCTTTTCTATTCAATTTTTTTCTATTTTAACTTTTTAAATATGGGCAACTTGACATTACTATTAGAAATATACGTTTGATTTTTAATTTTTAATTTTTTAATTTGGTCATTTAAAAAAAAAATTATAATAGTGGATGTGTTGGCTTCGCATTTGAATGTGAATTTTTTTTTTAATTTTTTAAATCATAATATAAAATTTTTGTATAAAAGTCCAACATTATTGATGTTGCATGTGAATTCAATTTTTTTAAAAAATATTTTTTGTCTTCTTTCTTTTTTTTAATCTTTTTAAAAGTTATATCATTTTTTATAAAGAGATATTCTAAATATACCTTAATTTTTGCTATTCACTTTTTTTTTTTTTTTACTTTTTTTGTAAATAAACTTACTTAATTACCATTCTTACAAAATTTCGGATATCTATATCAAGATATCGGTTTTCTCGGTAAATTTTATAATTTATTGGAAAAGGATTTTCAAAAAGTTTTGTAAATTAACATATTGTAAGTTATAAATTTATCGAATATGAATATTTAAAAAATTTTGAAAATGATAATTAAGTAATTTCATTTAAAATTTTTTTTAAATAAGAGGTGTAAAAAAATAAGAAGTGAGGTGCATTTAAAACCTCTCTTTTTATTAAAAAAAAATGTTTATACGTGGCACCTACTTTTGTTTTTCTTTTTGTCCTCCATTTTTTTTAATTATAAACATTTCTCAACAAAAGAAATTTTTATCAATCAATTTTTAAAGAAAAATATCTATGTAGGTGTATGTAACAAAATATCCATATTTGATGGATTTTAGTTTGTTTGGATTCAATAGATGTAATTTTTTAATTAAAATTGAATCGATTTTTTTTTAATTCGAGTCAAATCAGATTTAATTTTAAAATGTTTTGTCTTGCCTTAATATATAAATATATAAATATATTTTTAATTATTCATTTGATTTTATATTTTTATTTATATATTAATAAAATTATGATTTAATAACTTAATTTAATGAAGCTCTGTGTCATTTTTACAAATTTTTATTAAATCAATTTTACAATAAATTGTGTCAGTTGATAAAAATGTCATAACAATTTATATTTAACAAATTTGATCTATTTCGATTAGATAATGTGTTGAATATTTTCAATTCCGAGTTAAATTGAAACATATCATTTTTAAAAAAAAAAGAATTCAGGATAAAAATATCTGTAAGATGTTTTGTCCCAACTAAAGTATATATATATTTTTATTAGTTTTGTTTTATATATATTATATTAATAAAGTAATTATTTGATATTTTAATTTATGAAATTAATATTTTAAGCTTAATAAGAGTATTTGTATGGCATCCTTTATGACATCTTGTTTTTTATTTTTTTGCTTTTTGCTTTTTGATTTTTTGTTTTTATGGTTTTTATCTTTTGCAAGTATTCCTAAATACTACCCATCTATAGCGACCCAATATTTCAAAAACCCACTGCCAAAGATTGTTCAAGAAGGGCAAATTTAGTAATATATTATCTTTTAAATTTGATTTCTTAATAATATAAATATATATTTTTAAAATTTAAAAATCTCAAACATAGTGATATTATAAAATAAATTTTTAATAATTTAAACATATATCATTTTAAATTTAAAAATTTTAAAATATAATTTTTATTTTTAGAGGTTTTATTATAATTTATTATTATTTGATTATTTTTAAATTTAAAAAGACCAAATATCACATAAATTAGAAGATAATTTATTCTTTAACTATACTTTTAATATTAAATCTATTTCTATATTTTTTAGGCTTTAAACTTGCAAAAAAAAGGGTTTTTAACATGTGGGATGTACACATTTTTTATTATATTTTAATAATTTTTTGATATATGAGATACATAATTTTTATTATATTTTCAATAATTTATGCATCCATATGTTAAAAAGTTAAAATCAAATTTTTTTGTTTTTTTAAATTTTTATAAAAATTTTGAATATTTGGTTTGTTCCGGAGTAAATAAATGGAACGTATAGAAATTTTTTTACAATTTATGGATGTTGGAGTGAAAGAGAAAGATTGGTTTAGCACAATAATCACTATTTTAATGTATTTTGACAATTAAAGGTAAAAAAAATAAAAAATTGATTTAATTATTTAGGCATTATTTATTGATTTTATTTATTTAGGTAAAAAAACAGTGAATGCCAGTATCCAAGAAATGTTGTTGCAACTTCCTAACAGTTCTTGTAAGAGACTTATTCTTTGTTTCTCCATCCCATTACCAAACAGGGTTGCTTTTTTACTCATTTGTTCATTATTTAAATTTTCCATTACCAAACAGGGTCTTGAAGGTGCTAGTTTACCTTTTACGGTCTCCCGGTGCTTATGGTTATGGCGTTACATGAATGTAGATATAAACAAGGTCTTTGTTTTTAAGTCTGTAAACAATTTAACATACTCTGTTGTTTGACCATTTTAAATGCCTAAAGTTTTTGAATCAGGAGTGTGGTTGATATTGGACTGATGTTTGATGCTTGTAAGACTGCAGCCTAATTAAACAGAGGTTTGTATGGAAAAGTTTGTTAATTATATCTCTTGTTTGTTGGTGTTGCTGTATAACCTTGGACTGGGAAGTCTGGTTTATAGAGCTGAGAGGGTCTGTGATGGCTCTGGTGAAGATCCAACCTGTAGCAGATAAGCCTATTTCTGTATGTAGATTTTGATCGTGATGGAAATTTATCAGCAGTTCAAGCTTTATCTATTACTTATGCAACTTTAACTTTTCCAAGTTATTAATTTGCTGAAGTATTAAATTAATTGATTCAGTGCTGCAATTCTTTAAAAATGTTAGATGACGGCATCTCTTATATATGTGTTGATTTCCCTCATCTTCTTGGTAAAAAAAGGAAAATGATGCCATGGATAAATGCTCTTTCTAAATGAGAAGTGGGTGTGAATTATTACTTTGGAAATCTGTCACAAACTCTTCTATTTTCACATTCTATTGCAGGTCAGTGACAGGGAACAGCATCGCTGACCACTTGAATTATTATGGTGTCGATTTAATGTGCCAACAATGGAGATCATGCAGTATTGTGATGGATCCTCATGTTTCAGAGTATGGCGAAACAGATCACAAAGGAAATTTCATTTTGTCCAGAGATCCAGCCACAGTTGTTCTGAAAATGAATACTCAGTCAAATGAAGGGGAAGTTACATCTACTGCATCATTTATCGGTTTCGTGATTTGAATTTCTCATGGTAACTATGTTTTCCGCTTCAGATAACTGGCTTTTCATTCTTCCATTGAAGCCATGTAAAAAGCCATTGAAAATGAATGTTGTCGATGTGGGTTGGATTCGGGTTCGGATTCGGGGTACAAAGGAGTTTGTGTAAATAACCAAAGTGTACATTTTTTTTTTTTACATTTTTGAATATTGAATTTCAATGCCAGCTTAAAAATTTGTTTCTTTACATAGTTGTAAGCTTCAACTTTGTCATTCTTAAAATTGATCTTGCCTTTAGAAGTATTTCATCAAAATAACAGAGTGAACTGGAAGATGCGAGGCCAGACATAAAGAAAGAATTTGTGTACAAGCCTTCACACCATACTTGGTTCAACATTAAAGGTCGCAGATCTAGAGTTAAACCCCAGATACTGCACTAAACTCCCTATAAACTCAACATGGGAGAAAAAAAAAAAAAACTCTTGTTCAAACTGGTTTCTGATCAAATGGAAGAACACAATGAGATGGGCACAGCTTCTTTGTTGTTAGCATGGATCAAACTCAAAATCCATTAGGCCAAGGGCCAGTTCTTGAGATCGGGTCACTTTGAATCTAGTTTTCTGACGATAGAGATTGTTGCAATGATGATTAGTTTATCTGTTAGTCTCTTTATGGCCTTGAATATAGCTAATTTCTTGCATGGATGCTACACATGAATCAAAATTTTGTTACCAAAATACGTCCTAATGCCGAAAAATCCGCATCATAAATGACCATGACCTTTAGAACAATACCAATCACAAGCAAGAAGCTCTCTCCCTTGTGGTTGAATATCAGTTTTGTTTTTACAAAGGAGATTGTATCTTGGGATAAAAAAAATTGTAGGTACTCGGGCTTAACTCCTAAATATAATAAATATAATCCTAAATAATCGCATGAATCAATTAAATTTAAATTTTGGGTCGAAGATTCATAAATATGGTTGAATATCATGCTTTTTATCGTGTCAATAAACAAATTGAAGGATGATATATCTCCTTTTGAGCCAAAAGGGGCCCATCAAAATGAATAAAATTTTCTGGCAATAAACTTACTCAATATGACCAAAATTTAACTTTTTGATTCCAAGATCATTATAATTTTCATAGCCTAAAGCATTCCTAGTACTATTGGGAAGTTGATAAAATTTATGTAATAGCTAGCAATGTCCACATTCCAAGAAAATTCAGCATGGAAGATCAATTATCATTATAATTTTTCATAGCTTAAAGCATTACGCATGTTTCTTTGAAGAGGGATTTGAGCAGGAATATGATCTTAATACATGAAACTGAAGTGTAAAAGCAGTCTGATAAACACAGATAAAACTGCTTAGAAAGTTTCACTCTGTCTTCAAATCATCGGCTGGTGAAACTGCTGGTTTTTCTTCCTGCACCACAAAAAAACCCATGTGAGTACTTGCAATTTTCTTTTCTGCAGCAAAATCAAACTTGCAAATGTAATGGCTTGAAATAGGAACCAAAACTGGATTTAATAAGTAATACCTCTTTCACACCTGGGGTTGAAACTTTAGCTTCAGTAGTTTCTGCTGCTTCTGTTTCTTTCACCAACTTCTCTTTCTTCACAGTTTCAGCTTCTCCTGAACATACATGATGGAATCAAATTAATTAGTGAACGAACAAGAATTACTGGCATTGAAGCATCCTTAGTTAATGTCACAAACCATTTGCAGTTTCTCCTTTTTTCTCTTCAGCCAGTTTTTGATCCTTCAGAGTTTCTTCTTTTGCAACCTTTGCCAATTTCTTATCCTCCGTGATATCTTCATCAGTTTCTTCTTTTGTCTCTTCAGCCAAATTTTTATCCACCACAGTTTCTTGTTTAGTTTCTATTTTTGTCTCTTGAGCCAATTCTTTTCCCTCCAGAGTTTCTTCTTTTGTCTCTTCAGACAGCTTTTTAACCTCCAAAGCATCAGCCACTTTCACATTCTCAATGGACAACCTCTCAAAAGCAATTCCCTCAACAGGTTCCTCATTCTCTTTCACAACACCAGTTTTCTTCTCCTTATCATTCTCTACATTTCCTTCTTTCTTCAATTCTTTGTTTTCAGCCATGCCCTTCACATCAGCCACGTCCCTGGAATTGTCTGCATAAGAGTCCTGATTGACATTTTGGCCTTCCTCTTTCACCAATATAAGGCTTGTCTTGCTATCATGTTTGCTTGTTTCCTGAATGGTTTCTGAGGTTTTGCCGCTCTTGGATCCTGCTCCTGAATTTTTGCGGCTGATGGTGTTTCCTGTTGCGACATGTTTGGATTCACCACAGCCCATTTCTGTAGATTCTGAGTGCAAAGAGGAGGATCGCACTGCCCCCCTTTTTAATCTGGAGAGAGACTTAGAAATGAGAAAAATCTTGTTCTGGTTTCTGTTGGAGACATAGCTTGCATGGGCGTAATTTGATGCCTGCAGTTTTTTGCTCTAATAACAAACCGTTTTTTTCTGTTGATTTTCTGAGGCTGAGCTTAGCCAATTTGGCGAATTATCAATAGAAACAAAGTTTTATTTTTAGAATTACAAAATAGTAGTGCAGCAAGGTTTTATGCTGGCATGCAATGGGGATATTAGCTGGATTTATTTATTTATTTTCTTATTGGAGGTTGTTAGAATTTACATCTTAATTACAGAAATTAAGAATGTAATATTATACCAACAGATCATGTGACTGTTGATATATGAAACATTTATACTCATAGTTATTAACTAATTGACTAAATTCAACACGTTTTTAAGAAGATTGTTAGATTATATTACTTGTTTTACGTTTAAATTTCAAATTGTTAGAATTATCATAGAACAATGTGTGACATGGTTGGAATTACTTAAAAAAGACAATTATGTTTTTAAGTATTGGTTGGGATCCTGTAATCTATTTTTCATCCACTGTGTTTCGGCTAAAGGTAGGATCTTTTTCATTGAGAGTAATAATATAAGCACATTAAAATATTTTATAAAACAGTAATTTCAAAGCAATAGGACATTCAACAAACAGGGTTATGATCTTATCCTCATGATTCAACTTCCTCAATGTTGTAAATGGAAAAAGATGAAATACGAAAAACATCTGATATGTCACTCACCAGTGAACCCATCTAGCTAGTCCGAAATGTCCTTTGGTTTGAACCTAAATTTTGGTTGCTTTTCTTTACCAAAAGGGCAAAAGGTCCAAACGCAAATTGCAGATCCTTTTATCCATTGGCTGATGATCACACATGCATTGAATGAATGAAACTTTGCTTTAAAACATGTTTGCATTTCTCTTAAATATACTTCATATGCAACATAGAATAACATCCATAGTCTGATTCTAGAGCAAATACTGGTCAATTTTGCTCGACTGGTAAAAGCAACATGAATTTAACTCTTGGGATTGGATCCTTAGACCGCAATTACTACATTCAGAACTGTACAATCATTAAAAGTCTCACACATACAATCAATGACTGAAAATAATTGTTGCTCTTATCAAATTGTAAGATTTTATTTGGTATAAAGAAAGTTGTAATCTGGATAAAAATAACGACAAAGATAAAGATTGTAAATATTAAAATTTAAAATTTAAAATTATTAAATATCATCTTTTAAAAGTAATATATAAACTAACAGATCAAAACTCTGGTTAATTATTATCAAATTGTATAATTTGTTGTAACTTGTGATAAACTTTCTGTCTCATTGGACCCCTAGCAGATCCTGGTCATAAAAATATAGAAAAGAATATCAAGAGAAGTGCAAGTTGAGCTTTGCAAGCACCTCACCTCTTTTTCAGGATCCAATTCAGCTGGGACTGCAAACTATGCACAGAGCTCTAGAACTTGCTTTTTCTTTTTTTTTAAAGAGTTTTAAGCAAAAAAAAGTAAATTCACCTAAAGTTGGAAAAATGTACAAGAAAGGAACTCTTCATAAGGTCTCCTACAGATCTGATCTAGTGACATCACCCAAATTATCCATCAGGATAAAGAATTTTTAATATTTTTATTGAAAAATATATATATCTTGAACATTAATGAACTCTAAGTTGAAGCCATTAACAAATTTCTGTTGATTTAAGGGTTAGAAAAACAACCCCTCCAAAGCAAACCAATGTCTGTCTTTATCCTTCTATCTTGGCTACACGTCTCACCTTCCAGGTTCAACGTGGGAGGGAGTAATGAAATCATGTGCGTTGCACATGTTTGTTATAACACCGACAAAGATTTGCAGAATGAAACATGATTCGCTGACGTTCCGGGGACTGACCCATTTTCTCAAAGTCAGCACTCTGTAGTCTCTACCACCCACCTTATCCTTCCTCCTCCAGCTACAATATCTTTGTTATTTTTATTATTAAAATATTGCCTCTTAATATAACATATTATATTGTAATAATAAAAAACATATAAATGAGTGGCCTTTTTTAAGCATTCAACTTCCGATCAAGTGAAATGATTTAAGTTAAATATAAGATTATAAAATATTAAAAATTTATTATATAAATAATTTATTTTAATAAATTTTATCACATGTAAATAAAAATGAAAAACTTTTCATATGATAAATTTTAAAAAGATAAAAAAAATGATTTTGATGTTTTATTAAATATTTAATTTATAATAAATTGACCATAAATAAAAGGATATAAATGAATATAAAATTATATGATATTAAAATTTATTAGATTAGCATAACTTTAACAGCTTTTTCTTGAAGGCGTGGGGGCTTCATTTATCTTCTTCGGTTTTTCCTCTTTTGAGGATTGCGACACCAAAACTAACCCATCTTCCCAAATCAGGAAACTCCATTCTCTTTCTGGGATTTCTCTAGAAAAGCCAAAAAAAAAAACCTTTTTTTCTTCATGGAAGTCTCTTCAGATAATGAACGCCTTTATTTTGGGAAGATGGGATATGGGTATCTTTCTTTATTCTTCTTCTCTTCTTCCTTTTCTTATTCTATTTTGGCTTCTTTTCCATCAATGACTTTTTTTTTTTGGATTTTTTTAGATGCCAACATTATAGGAGGAGATGTAAGATTCGAGCTCCATGTTGCAACGAGGTTTTCTCTTGTCGCCATTGCCATAACGAGGCTGCGGTATTTTTTTTAATATTTCGTTTGGATTCCCCTGTTTTAAAAAAAGTTTCCATTTTTCTAACTCTTTATGCGATTTCTTGATCTGGGTTTTTATTGTTTTGGCTTTACTAATTTGTTCTCCAGAGCATGTTAAGCAACCCCTTTGATAGGCACGAGCTTGTTCGACAAGATGTTAAACAAGTATGATATTGAAAATCATGGCTTTTCAATTTAATGTTATTTTTTTTTCTGTATTAAGAATTTCAATGATGTCTTTTCTCTAATTTGGTTCTTTTAAGGTTATTTGCTCGGTTTGTGACATGGAGCAGCCGGTATGTGTGTTTCAGATTTGATACAACTAGACCTTTGTTTTTGTTCTTGTTCAGTTTTGATGCTGATTGTTGTGTTCTGTTTTTCTAGGTTGCTAAACTTTGTTCAAATTGTGGCGTCAATATGGGAGAGTATTTCTGTGAAATTTGCAAGTTCTTTGATGATGATGTAAGCATATGCTTTTTGAAGATTTAGCTAGCCAAATAAATAAAACTGTGAAATAGTGGTGATAAAGTTTGGTTTATTGCCGCTGTTGATTCATTAATCGTTGGCTTAAAATGGAGAGAATGAATAGTGTTTGATCCTTGTTTGCTTTTGTCTACTGTTTCTTGTTTTTCCTTGATGTTTACCTTTCAAACACATGCGATGCAGACTGAGAAAGGGCAATTTCATTGTCATGATTGTGGGATCTGCAGGTTAGTTGCAAAGTTTATGTATGGCTATTATTTTCCTAATGATTATTAAAACGAAAGTGATGGGACCTAATAGAATGACTTTGGCAACAGAGTTGGTGGTCAAGAGAACTTTTTTCACTGCAAGAAGTGCGGTATGTAGTTAACACCTTTAATTACAAATTTGTCACTATTCTCTTCTTACAAAAGATATCGTAGTCTGGTGATATGGGAAGAGATTGCAGATGGTAGGATTTTATGAATGGCCTCTTAAGGATGATTGTATGAATCAACTGAGCTAACCTTATTCTTTTGAATGTAATGATGTTATGCTTCGTAAGAATGCTCTCTTACTTCATGGTGGTATTTGTGGTGTGCTGTGTGCCAGTAGGGCATTGCCTACTGTCCAATTCAAATTCTGTCTTGGTCAGTACTTTGTCTATCTCAACCCTTCTATTCTGACTTTCCCAGTTATCCATTTTCATTATCATTGTTATTTTTAAACCAGGTTCTGTCCTTGTCCAATATGTTGTCTAATATGTTGTCTTTATCAACTATGTTTCATGTTTGGAGTCCACTACTTTGCTTTAAAACTATGTTCTATGTTTTGATGTGAACCTGAAAATGAATGAAGTGAGTTTTGAGAAGGCCTCTAAACATTTGAATTCCATCCCATGCTAACAATTTATTAAAGCATCTCTTCCATGCCATGCTGCATCTCTTTGTTCTTTTACAATAACACTATATTGGACAGGGTCTTGCTATTCCATTGCTCTGCGGGATAATCATTTGTGTGTGGAGAACTCAATGCGGCATCACTGCCCCATATGCTATGAGGTTGGTCTTCTTCTCTCTTCAATTCTATCTAGAACTATTCTCATCTGCTAATGGTGCATCATTCTGTTTCTCTAGTACCTTTTCGATTCGTTGAAAGATACCACCGTGATGAAATGTGGTCACACAATGCACTATGAATGTTACCATGAGATGATAAACCGTGACAAGTGAGTGACTATGAGTTCTTGTTTTAGTTGATCACAAGTTAAAATCTATGTTTTATTCTTAATTTCAATTGATGTTGTTGCTCAGATATTGTTGTCCCATATGCTCAAAGTCAGTAATTGATATGTCTAGAACCTGGAAGAGGATAGATGAAGAGGTACACTTCTTCAATTTTAAGGCCATCAAACTGTAAATGGTTGTGATTGACAGCCTTGTCTTCTATTCAAGTCTTCATTTGTTCAACATGATTCATAACACAAAACTCATCTTGTTTGTTCTCAGATTGAAGAAACTGTAATGCCTGAGGATTACCGGTATAGGAAGGTGCTTTCTTTGATTCTTCTTCATGTCTAATACCCTGTTGAGTTCGAGTCATAGCTCTGAGCTTGAGAATTTTGGAACAATAGAGTGTTTAACAGGGTTCAAGTAGTATAAAATTTAACAGGGCTCGGGAATGGATACCTAAAAAATAGCGGATACCCTACCCATTGCCTATCTGAATTGATTTAACTGTTGAATGCAGGTTTGGATCCTATGCAATGACTGCAATGACACTACAGAAGTTTACTTCCACATAATAGGACATAAATGTAATCAATGTAAATCATATAATACCCGCACAATTGCCCCTCCAGTTATCCCTCAATGACAAGATCATGATCCAAGGCATCTAAGCATAAAGCAAAAAAGAGGAATTCTTGATTGCATGTTCAAACATTTTAGTTTGTATTACTGGATCGATTATGTACTACTGTATAATGATCCGAATGACAATAGCATTTTTATGTCTTTCGCATAAACTTTTCTCAGGTTATTCCTTCTCCCATGGCGGAGTTAAAATGAAGCTGTGAATTATTGTTTTGATTGTTGTAAACGCTAGCTATTGATGAAAAGAATATTTAACAAATATTTTAAATTTATTTTTATTTTTATATCCGTAAATATGAAATGAGTAATTCACTTACCTATAATTTTTTTTAGAATAAAAATCAAATTTATTTTTTTAGTTTTTTATAATTTTTATTTTACATATTTATGTAATTTTTTATAAATAAATTAATTTATATTTTTAAATAAAATATATTAGTGATAAAATAAAATGATTTATTCTATGTTTTTAAATAATATGTCAGATATTTTAATTTTTCACAATAATATCAAACAATTAAAATTCCAAAATCACGGTTTTTTTTTGCAGCAAAATTTCAACATTAGATAAACTCTTGTGGGTAAATAAAAATTAAATTGGAAATGGTTGGGATTTGTTTCATTTTGCATTAAAAAAAATAAAAAAAAATTGAAGCCAACTCATCAGGTCCACAAAAGAACCTTGGGCCGCCACTGTACAGAAGTCCATCCTTCCCCCTTTCTTTCCCCTGACCCTCTCCGCCGTTTTTATCCTGGTCGAATCTCCTCCCCTAAAACCCAACGAGTTTTCGTCTCTAAAACTCGCTCCGAGAAAAGAAAATGCGAGTCCTTTCGAACGCTCGTAATCTCGCTAGGGTTTTAGGAACCCGAACAATTCATTTCAATTCAAATCACCGATTCCTCTCCTCTTTGACTCAAATCAACTCATCTCCTCTCTCTTCTCTTCAATGCCAACTCCACACCGACGCTTCCTCAGGTACCGTCGAAATTCCACATTTTTTGAACTTTTTAAAAATGTTTTCTTTTAATTTTTATTTTTCTGTTCAATTTAATACGAATTATTTGGATTATTAGCTAAGAAGGAGAAATGAAATTTATAATTTTTAGTTCACTTCTCATTGAGAAAGAAGAAAAAGTTATTGATTTCGTATGATTTTTTTATGAATTTATAATTTTTTAAATTTCACAGGGATATATGGAAGCAGTTATTTTCCAATGCCACGGCATCCGATTTATTCGATGATGTCACGGACATCTTTTTCTACAGAAGCAGGAACCCCAAACAGTAATCCAACTGGTACTTGATTTGCTCTATATTAGTTTAGTTTCAGATTGTTTTTAAGCTTTTTTTTTTTTCAAATGTTTGGTTTGGTGTTGTTGAATGCAGAGGATGTTAAGGAACTCTATGATAACATGCTTCAATCCGTAAATGTTAAAAGGACTATGCCTCCGAATGCTTCTCTATGGTCAATGATTGAAAACTGCAAAAATCGTGAGGATATTAAGCTTCTGTTTGATGTTCTGCATAATCTCCGAAGATTTGTGAGTTCCTTATCTTTGTTGCATTTTTTTGATAGTTTTATTCAAATGTGGTTTGTTTATGGATGTGATCTCTGGTTTTTGGTTGCAGCGATTATCAAATCTTCGGATTCATTCCAATTTTAATTGCAATCTCTGCCAAGAAGTTACCAGGGCATGTGCTCGTGTGGGTGCCATTGATTTTGGTATGCCTTGTTGTTTTTTCATATTTTAAGTACTTGGTTTTTTTTTTTTGGCTATTTATTTTTGCAGACCCTGAACAATTTTCTGTAGTTTGACAGCTATTCTTGAATACTTGGTTTGTAGAAATTTGTAGCTTAGTTAAAATATTTGTAAGTACCATATGGTGTATCTAATGTAACTGTATGAATATAATTTAGCTCGAATGCTTACACAGGAAAGAAGGCTTTGTGGCAGCACAATGTGTATGGATTGACTCCTAGTATCGCATCTGCACATCATTTACTGGTATAATTGGCCCATCTATCAAAATTTTCAATTTTCATTTTGGGTTTGGTATTTTTGTACATTTAATTAAATGTTGGAATGCAGTCGTATGCTAAGGCTTGTAATGATGTTAAACTCATGGTGGAGGTAATGAAACTTTTGAAAAAGAATAACTTACCACTACAAGCTGGCACTGCAGATATCGTTTTCAGGTGAATCAGTGTTTAGTTATGATGGATGTTTCTCTTTTGCTTTGCTAAATGCCCTAAGAATTCCTGTCTCAATAACAATTATTTTTGCTTTTCCCAATAAAATTTGCAGTAAATGTAAAAAAATTGACTGGATGTGAAAGGCTTATTCTCTTTTAAATGTATATAACTCAATTCAAGTTTGATCCTTGTCCAATTTCCTGGCTAGAACACACATGGACATTCAAATCTGAGATGTTTAAATGTGATGTGATTTTGTATTATTGGATAAATTTGTTCTTTTTGTGAACAAGCTATATATCACTAACTTTCTAAAATATTGGACTTTGATTCTATTAACTGCCCCAAACTTCTGTGTTATGATCTTTAGAATTGGTTTATTGAGTTTCCCTTTTTTTTTTGGGGGGGGGGGGGGGGGTTGGGGTGGGGTGGGTAGAAAGTAGGTACTTATTAGCATACTTGTTCTCCTATCTGGCGTTGCAAGGATTCTTGTCTTGTCTTCATGATTCCTTTTAAGTTGATTTAATATTTTATTTGGATTAAACATTTGCAGCATTTGTTACAATACAAATAATTGGGAGTTGATCTCTAAGTACTCAAAGAGGTTTATCAAGGCTGGAGTAAAACTGCGACAGACTACATTTGACACATGGATGGAATTTGCTGTCCGAAGAGGTCTCTAATCTCTGGGTTCTTATCATCTGTATCTAATCCAATTTTCTCTGTGATTTACATTTTTTAACTCTCTCTCTCTCTTTGCTCTCTAAGTGGTGGTGGTTGATAAGAGGGAGACAGAGATAAAGCTCGCTCTCAATGAATGAGTTACTACTACAATATCTCTTTCCTCATACTTGGAACTTGGGGCTAATTTATCATTTCTTGTTTATAGGAGACACTGAGTCACTATGGAATATTGAGAAATTGAGATCTGACACAATGAAGCAGCACACTCTCACCACTGGTTTTGCATGTGCAAAGGTAATTTTCATTCTATGCCTGAATAAGACAATTGATTCCAATAAACAAAAGAATAATATTATCATTTTATAACAATACATACGTGTTTAGTTTCTCTTCATGTGATCAACATTTTATTTATTTTTAATTATTTTTTATTTTCAGGGTTTACTACTTGAACATAAGCCAGAGGAAGCTGCAGCTCTTATTCAAGTCCTTCATCAGGTAAATGAAGTTTCATATCAATTTGTGCCATTTTATGTTTTCAAATTTAGATTATCCTTGGCCTTTTTAGTCTCCAACCTTCTTGACCATGCCGGAGTAGGGGAATAGAATAAAATGGAATTAATATAAAAAGAAGATAAATGTACAAAATGATTAATAGTGAGTGAGTTTGTTAAGGAAAGTATCAAATTGTTATGCCTCCCAAATACTGAAGTAATTATGCTTTAACTTACTCCTATTTCTACCCATGGAAATGGATATGAGACATCTAGATTCTGGATAATTTTTACTATTATTTATGGGTTGCTGCTGATCATATCAAGTAATACTGGGGAAGTTTTCTTACCTTGTCTCATTGAGCTGTGAGTTAATTTGTTTTGAACTTGCCATTCGGATGGGTGTCATCATCATCTTGACATTCAGCTTTTGATTGCTTAACTGATATTTAATCTGCTATGTGGAGTAAATAAGAAAATTACTAGTATTTGAGGTATCAAACATATCTTTTATGTGCCCTTGAATGCTTTTGGATTCTATAATGTCTGAGATTAAACTATTACACTATTTCATGCCAGACTCTATCTGATGCAAAGAAGCCTGGTATTGCGGATGAAGTTGAGAAGCTGGTAAATGAGTGGCCTATGGAAGTTATCAAGCATCAAAAAGAGGAAGATAGGAAGGTATACTATTTAATTCTTTATTTTTCTCAAAAAAAAGAAGAAAATCCTTGTCATTTCTTTTGACAGTTTGTATCCAAGAATCTTAAGCTAATTGTTGTCCTTCATTGAATCAATTTGGTTAGGCATTGGCTGCATCTTTGAAATCAGATATTCCTGCCATGGTTACGAGTCTTCTAAACATAGGCTTAGCAAGGAATGTAAATTTGGAAGATTTAGCGAAAAGAGAAATTCTGTCGTAAGCCAAGGAAGATTGGACATGACGAACCAAAGCTATGTTGGCACCTTGTATCAACAGAGCTGCAACTATTTTAGACATTTCAAGAATTGCCGCAAACTGAGGACTCCATTCATGATCACAAACTTCACACTCCACTGCTAGAGGGATTGCAAGCAAGCATCTAGTTGTAACCCTATTTTATCAGTTACTCTTTTGAGATTCCATTCATTTGGGTTAATCCACTCTTTTGAGATTCCCAATTTTGTTAAGAACTAGTTAGTACTTAAATATCAATTGTCAGCTCATCAAAATTTTCAGTTGTCATCAATTAATGTTGTTTTTTTTTTTTTTGAATTACGATTAGGGTTCGAACTAGAAACATTCAATACTAAAGCTGATTGCAATAGCATCAACAAAGCAAAATTTCTTCATTTTCCAAACACTATAGTAGTTAAATACAATGGATCCTTTTGTTCATTTTTTCCCTTTAAACCATATGCTAAAGGTAGTTTCAATGAATTTATAAAACTACAAATGTATGTTCTTCAACAACTTTTTGGATAAATGCTAATATATAGCAGTATATGAATGAAGAAATCAAACTTCTAAGAAGTTTCAAGCCCTATAAAATTAGTATGTCTCGTTTAATTTTTTCAATTGTACTATCTCCATTGCCATTGGCAACTGCTGCTGTCACAGTTACTGTTATTTGCCTTTGATCATTAACTGCAACATTTGCCGCCAAAACCTCAGCCTTGTGCTTATGGAATACCATAAAAATGTCTGTCACTAGTCTTGGTCGAACCAGTGATTGAATCCCAAAGAAGGCGAGATTGCTTGAGACAGTGACATTGATTGAGGAATTCCTGTTTGAAATTGAATAACCTTCTGCTACTTTTGATTCTGATGAATTCTTCAGCTCTTCCAACCTTTTTATCTCTTTTTCTAGGGATTGAATATATGCAATTGTTTCACCTACAATATTCTCTCTTGTAGCCTAAAAGAATGAAAAAAACATTTGATCAGATAAAAAGTTGAAGAAAAACCCATCACTCTTGGCAAACAGTTATTCAACATTTGAAAGGTAACAGCTAGGAAAATGGCTTTCAAAAATCAAGAACTGGTTTTGAAACGAAGACATGTTTGTCATTAGAAACATGAAACAAACAGGTTCCTGAATGAAATGAAGAGCATCGATTTTAACTACTATGAACCAATTGGCATCGATCGAATATGACCTTAGGGAAGAGATTAGGGACCATAGACAGAAGAAGATCATAATTCTCAGCCATTTTATCCCTCTTCTCTCTTTCCTTCTTCAAGCTCTCAGTCACCTCTTCATTGGCTTCCTTTGGCCTGCAACGTTTCTTCGAGCTCGAACCCTTTGCCTCGACAACACCAGCAGCCTCTTTCATTAATGCTGAAAATTGTGATAATGGAGCTATCACTTTGTCACTATAACCATCCATAATACTATAAAGCAGCTCATTTATTTCCCTCTCTTCCTCTTCTTTCTTTGTCCTCTTTTGTTGATGTTCCATGTTTTTCTTTCTTTATTTGGTTTTGCATGTGATGATGATGAAGAAAAGTCGATATCTGATTTGTTAAGGAAACTGTTTTCAGAATATTTGCTCTGAAGAGTTCAGGGGAACAGATTTTGCCTGCCAAAGACGATTGTTGTTGAATGTGACAGTGTACGTTCAAGCTACTTGTATAATTGATTTGATTCTATTTGGAATTGTTTGTTACGTTTTTTTGTTGGTTTTTTTTTTTTTTAATCTTTGCTTCCTGCTCAGGGTATTGAAACCCCGCCGTTGGATTGGCAAGCCAATATGAAGATCAGATGCTCCTTAATTGTTTTTTTTAAAGAAATTTGATAGTGGTAGTACTATGAAAAAAAATCAAACCGAATTTTAATTTTATTAATTCATATAATTATTTTAGAAGATGATATACCTTAAATTTAAATTTCAAATTTGTAACGTTTATCAATTTTTTTTATTTTCAAATTACGCTCTCTTTTTTTTTTAAAAAAATCAAATTAATTAGGAAGCATTGTTTTAATTAAAGATGAACATTATTTTTCTTATTTAAGCATTTGATTCATTTTGATTGATGCATGATTTCTTTCCTAAAAAATTAATAAAAAAGTGAAAGATTTAAATCTATTTTTATTGGGTTGTGCTCTTGTCCATTATTTATATGTTTTATTATTATCCTATATATTTATAATCACCGATAATAATATTAAAAATGATAATTTAAATTACGATATGATAATATAATATTAATATGATATGATTTAAAATTTTAACAATAATTATATATGAATTGATTTTAACATAATAAAATATATTTTTATATTTTTATATTAACATAAATTATAATAAGTAATTTTAACGTAAAATATTAAATTTTAATATTTTATATTATATAAATATATAAATTAACAGATGTAATCATATCCATAAATTATAAAAGTGATATTGATGGTTAAAATTGTCATGAATACTATATATTGTACTACAGTTAAGAACCTGGTAAGAAGTGAGGGGTCCCATTTGCAGGACAGTTTCTGCTCACTGACATCGCCCTCGCAGTCCACAACCTAAAAATCAGAGTCTCAAGTTTTGGATTGAGTTTGCCCTCTGTTTATTGCAATTATTTTGTGTTGTTCACACTATTATCTAAAATAAAAACGAAAATAAAATCCAGACAAAGAAGAGCTAGCAGAGCAAATCCATAATAATTAATATAAACCCATATAGTAATAATCAATATAAATAATAAGTTTTTTTTCACATAATTTTATTTTTCCTAACAAATATAAAACATGAACTCATTTAATTTCTACTTGCAAATCTCTTATGGAAGGTGAGAACAGCGACGGCTACCAAAGCCATGAAGACCAATGAACCAACTAAAGACAGAACAATAGAAATTGCAGCTTGGTCACAGAATTTGTCGAAAACATTGCAAACTTTGTTCCATTGAACGTGGGAGTTCCCTTTGTAGCCCATAAGACCAATGGCCAAGGCAGCTCCGTTGGCAGAAAACAGCAATCCAACCATCACCAGATCGAAGACAGTTATAATTTGGACCAATCCTGTCTTTCTATATAGGGTTCCCAGCAAAATGAGCGAAGAAATTGCACCATATGAGCATGCTATTATATTTGCCACCATGGAGTACCTAGCAAGAGGAAAAAAAGAGCAACAAAATGAGCAAAGAAACAAAGTTAATATTCTCAAGTTCTGTTTCACTGTTTCTGATTTATTCTATAAAAAAAATCATTAAAAGAACATATACAGGAGCTTTGATTATGTGAGTAAGATTTTGAAAGTGAAAGTGTAGTGGAAGCAACTCAAGCAGATGACAAAAAAATAAAATCAAATGATAGAAGAAACTTGAAACTTACACAAAGGCAGACAAGTAATGCCACTTAGCATGTGCTTCAACATTGACAAGAGGTAAGGTTGGTGTGAACTGAAATGGAACAACCTTAGTCTGCTTATCCACCCCAAGAACTATGGCAGCTGCAAGTGTTAGCAGCAGTGCCAAAACCCTCAGAATCAAGTCACAGATGCTCACTTTTGTTGACATCCCCACTCCCCCTTTGCTCCCACCTATTCCATCAACACTACCACTCACCTTGTTATTGTCTTGGCTCTCCATTTCTACAGCTATTATATATATAATATATTCCTGTGGAAATTAGAAAAGAGAGCTATGGATGGAGAGACCAATATAGATGATGAATTGCGAGGATAGTAAGATCAGACAAATGATTTAAATAGAGAGAAAAAAAGTGGGTGGAAACACTAGAGCCAACCATTTCTTTCTTCGGACAGTAGTGTAGAACGTAGAGTCCTAAATGTAATCGGAAAGCTCTGCAATTTGTGGCATTTTCTGCAAGCTGGTGGACGTGTGGAAGCAGTTTCCCTGTTAGGTCAGACCTTATCTTTGAAAGTTATTATCCTGAAGCTAGGCATTGATATATTATTTTTATATTTGTTTTCTTATTTATTTTTATATAAAAGACAATAATAAAAAGCATGATCATGTTTTTAATCTTAAAGTTAATTCGGTTAATTAGTTGTAAATTTTAGATACGAATATTTTAATTTATTAATCTTATTTAACTACCCTTTGACGAAAGATGTGGGTTTCCCAATTAATAGGAGCGTCAAGGAAACCTAAAATTGTGGCTTTACCAATATGAGGTTCCATTAAATCCAATAATTATGAAGACAATCAAAGTTTACAATCTTCAAGTTTATCAAAATTTCCCCAAATATTAAAATATCTCAAAATCTATTACCTCTTGGTCAGATTCATCATATATGGATAAAATTTAAATGAAAATTTTTAGATGAAATTTATAAAAATTTTTTTAATAATTTAATAAAAATTTAATAAAAAACCAAAATCGATAGATTAATGAAATTTAATGTGAATATCAATAATATATAAAAAAATTATTGAAAATATTATTTATAATTTAAAATTGATTGACATGTATTCAAAAATAAAATTTTTTATATAAAAATATATCAAAATTTTTTAAAATTTACACTCTTAATTTATATAACAATTATTTTTTAATTTATCAATTTTTATTTAATCTTTTTATATGAAATTTTATGAATTTTGCTTAAAACATTTCATTGACCTCGTTTGTCATGCTATACATACGCTTATCAATATCTAATAAAAATAACCATAAAAAGAAAAAAAAAAAAAACTTTTGTAATCAATGAGTTTTGATCCAAAACTCCGTACCATTTTCGAGTAAAACTTATCATAAATTCTTGACTCGATTTAATTAGAGAAGCAAAATCTTAACTCTTTTTAAATAAATAGAAATTATTTTAAATATTTCAATTTGAAAATTTTGATCTTTTATTAATAAATTTAATTTCAATTCAAATTTCATACTATCAAATCACCTCAAAGTTTTATGATAATCCTCACAATTGAGTTTGTGGATAGTGGATCGACTTGAATATATATTAGAGACAGTTAAAATTAATTATTAAAAATTAAAATTATTAATATTTTTTTATTTGATATTTAAAGTAGTAAAAGAATGTGGTCATGTCAAATTGTCGACATATTGCACATCTGTTATTTAGAACACATTCATTAATTATTGCCTCAAAGATTTCCATCAACACCAAAACGGATATGCGTGTTGGCTCTTTTGGATTCACACATGGCTTGGGTCATTCTTAATTTTTCTTCGAAAAGGTATGAACGTGATGGTATGATCTTTGCATTAAATATTTTAGGGTTTCGAAATCCACAATCCAAAATCACAGGAAAGTTTCGTCCACGTTATTCTGAGTCAAACTCAGAAAAGAAAATTCTGAAAATTAAAAAAAAAAAAAAAAAACTCTTTTGAGATAGCTGGCATCATTTAATTCCATGGTGGCAACAACTGCTTTGCCAAACTGTGAAAACTTTTCTTAAGCAAATCTTGATTGATTTATTATTCCTACTTGTTGTCCTTTAATTTATTGAATGATTTAAAATTTAACCTAAACATAAATAATATTTGGTGATCATGAACTCAATCATTTTTTTTTTTTATCATTTTGATTGCTTGGAATCTCATTTATAGTTGTTGTTTAAACAATTGAAGATCGACTCTAAAGATCGTCGGATTTAAAAAAAATTTAAATACGTAATATATTTTTCATATAAATTAAATAAATAAAAATCGAAAGTTAAGAGTAGATTAAATTTAATAAATTCTCATAAATTTCTCATAGATATAACATTGTGAAAATATGTGTCTTAACTTTCTAAATTTAATTACATGATCAAAGTCAATAAGGCTTGTTACCAATGATGATGAGAAAATCTTGGAATCTTTTAAGTATAAAATTCAATATGTGATTTAATTTAATGTATATTAAATATATTTTTTTTCAAAAATTGTCTAATATAAGTTTTTAAACCACTTCAACAAAATAAAATAGAGAGTTGTGAAATATAATCCAACTCAATTCGGTTTGCAAAATCTACAAATTTTCATCAAATAATAATTTATTTTTATTTTTATATATAATCTTTATATCAAAGAAATGATCAACAATAAAAAATCTTGTAATTAAAATAAGTATTAATGTTATTAATTCCCCTAAAATTTGATTTTTAGAGCATTAAAAGCAGGAAAATACAGTTAGGAATCATTAAATATTACCTAAACTCTTATTTTCCCCGAAATTTTTTTTTTTTTTGGGGTTTGGGTTACAAATTCACTTCAAGCTAGGCTTATAGTCGAGGGAGAAGGTTTTGACTAATCAATTTTACTCATCTTTTAATGAAGTTTTGTTTAAGAAACCCTCAAAAATTGAGGAGCTTTTATTAGGGCAAACTCAAAATGAGGAGCAAACATAAAGAACAGAAAAAAAAAATCGAGTACAAATTTGGAATTAATTGGTTTTAACTTAATGAGATTTGTTAAAATCCCAACACAATTGAACCAATCCATTAATCCAAAACTTAAAAATGATAAATATTACGTGGCAAGATCGTGAAAAGGAGGGCCTAAAGATGAAATAGGGGACCCTACAAAGCAATGGTGTAGCTCTAGATATCCCGGTCCTTTTTTTTTTTTTTTTTTTATCTATGAATTCCATTGTAATCAACCCCAAAGGACCCTTCTACTTGCAATTAATATTCTAGCCGCCATACTTGATTAAGGAATCAACTTAATTATTGCAACTCGCAATAAAAATAGAAGGTTAGCGTTTGGTTTCAGAGTACAAAGTTATTTTTTATTTTTATTTTTTAAGAAAAAATATGATTAAAAATATGTTTGACAATTGAAAATGAAAATAAATTTTAAAAAATAAAAATAAAAATGGGTTGAACTATGAAAATAAAAAAGAGATTTTTTAATTGTGAAAACAAAATATGTATGTTATTTTTTTTTTTAAGTTTTGTAAGTTATCATATTTAAATCCTTTTTGATATCATTAATTAATAAATATATATTATATTTATAATTAAATGACATTAATAGTAATATTATTAAATATTTTATTTATTTATTTATTTATTTTTATATTTTAGAAAAAAAATTTATTTTCATTTACCAAATACAATTTTTAAAAAATAAAAATTACTTTCTAGAAAATAAAAATAAAAAATAAAAAAATATTTTCTCAAACCAAATGGAACAAAATACATACTCTTTCTCTATGTTAACTAAATCTTTTTTTCTAATTAATCCAAAAGATTAATTATGGGTAAAACCTAAAAATTATCCGACTAATCACTTTCTACACCATTTTATAACGAGTTTAGAGTAATCTAGTATCGCTAAGCTTTATTTAAATCTAATCATTAGAATGGATAATTTTAAAAGCATACTTACGATATATTCAGAATTTTATTTTCAAAATATTGGCACAAGAGAATTTTTCTCTATATCAATTGAATTAAAAAATTTAAATGAAGGAATGAAAAGTCTCATTGATCATCCAACCTGCACAAATTTTTTCTTTTTTTTGTTTCATATACTAAAGTAACTTACAATTTAAAGTTACCAAGCCTATCTTTTAATTTTTCTTTTATTTTTTCAATCCCTTCTAATCTACAATAATTTCTTCCATCTATTCCCTTCATCTACTTTCCTTTTTAAGCTCCAAATTATAAATATACACTATATATTGGTCCAATATTTTCAATTTTCTCAAAGGTAATGAAACTTATTTTCAGCAAAAGGTGATTAAGCAGTGCTCTTATAATATGTCAGCAGGTCAGACACTACAAGAAAATAAAAAATTAGTGACAGTTTTGTAGCAGCGTTTCACTTACAAACGTCGCTAGCTTCCGTGTTTTTATAAAATTTAATGCATTTATTATCAAAACGCCACTAAATGTTCAAATAACAACATTGTTACTTATAAACGCCACCCAAGCTTGATATTAGCGACGTTTCTTGACTAAAATGCTTTGAATAATCCTGTCTTAAAATTTTAAGTAAATACTAAAAGCGTTTTTGGCAAAAAATGCCTTGAATAATCCTATTAAAAAAATTGATAGGAAATTACTAAAGACATTTTTGGCAGACAACGCCTTCAATAATCTCCTCATAAAAAATGTATGGGATTATTGAATGCGTTTTTGACAAATATCATATCAAAATTTTAAGGTCGTACGGATGTTAATCATAAGGTGGTAGATTCAATCCTTCCCTCTAGACTTTTTTGGGTTTTTGCAAAGATTATTTGTAATTGATTATTCTAGACGTTTTCTTGAGAAAAATGCCTTCACCAATTGCTTTAAAAAAATTTTGGGAGAATATTAAAGGCGTTTTTTTGTAGAGAAACGCCCTTAATAATCCATAGGAAAAATATAAAACTAATTCTTGAAGGTGTTTTTGGCCAAACTTGCCTTTTATAATCCAATCAATAAATTTTTAGTTAGAATTATTAAAGGCGATTTTGTTAAAAACGCCTTCAATAATCCATAGATAAAAGTTGAAACAAATTCTTGAAGGCTTTTTTGGCTCAAAACGTCTTTAATATTCCAAACGATAAATTTAAATGGTTGATTGTTAAAGGTGGTTTTTTCCAAAAACGCCTTCAATAACATTTTGTTGGGGATTATTCAAAGTGTTACCAATAGGAAAACACCCTTAATAATCAATTCAATTAATTTTTAGTTAGTATTATTAAAGGTGATTTTTTTAAAACACCTTCAATAATCCATACAAAAAAGTTGAAACGGATTCTTAAAGGCGTTTTTTGCCCAAAACGCCTTTAATATTCGATGCTAGAGCTCGCTAATTCCTATTAAATTACCACAATAAAAGAATCAAAATGTATGAAATGAATATTCATAAATATTCATTAATGAGTATAAAACAAGTGTGCAAATACATACAAGCTCATACTTCACTTTTGCATATCCCTTTCTTGCTGTCTAATGGT